AGATCCATTTCGTCCGCTTGAAGATGGAGAAAAAGTTCTTGATCTTGAAGTACCATATCTTAGTGCAATTGGAGTATTAACTTATCTTGCAAATTGTACTCGACCCGACATAACTTTTTCTGTAAATCTCCTTGCAAGATATAGCTCTACACCAACTCAAAGACATTGGAATGATGTTAAACATATTTTTCGTTACCTAAAGGGTACTATTGATTTGGGATTCTTTTATTCTCAAAAATCAGGATCTGCTTTAGTGGAATATGCAAATGCAGGTTATCTATCTGACCCACATAAAGCTAACAGGTTATGTGTTTACACGTGAAGGAACGACTATATCATGGAGATCTGTGAAGCAATCCTTGACAGCCACACCTTCAAATCATTCTGAAATTATTACAATCCATGAAGTAGGTCGAGAATGTGTATGGTTGAGAAACATGACCCATCATATCCAAGCATCATGTAGATTAATTTCAACCAAGGATAGTCCAATAATTTCGTATGAAGACAATGTAGCTTGTATTGCACAACTCAGAGGAGGCTATATCAAAGGTAATAAGATGAAGCATATTTCTCCAAAACTCTTTCATACACACGAGTTTCAAAAGAATGGCAATATCGATACCCAACAAATTCGCTCAAGTGATAATGTGACCGATTTATTCACAAATCTACATTCAAGAAATTAGTTCATGAGATTGGAATGCGTTGACTCAAAGATTTTCAGTGATCAACATCAGGAGAGTAGTTGTACTCTTTTTCCTTAACTTAGGTTTTGTCTCACTGAGTTTTCCTAGCAAGGTTTTAATGAGACAACATTTATTTTTAGTACTCCAAAATAATTGTACTCTCTTTCTTTTGTTTGATTTTTTTCTCATTGGATTTTTATAAAACAAGATTTTAACGAGGCAGTTATTGTACAAATAATCATCAAAGGAGGAGTGCTGTAAAATAATGAGATAATTATTGATGATTATTTAGTATTATCATGATACATGTATAAGTCTTATCTATAGTTTAGAAGATCTATTTTATTCCAATTGTAACTCTTATTTTGAACCTTATAAATATAGCACATTGGTTCATAATGATACACAATTGAGTTTTAACTCTTTATTTTTTCTCTTATTTTCTCTCTTCCCTTTAATTTTATAGCAAAACCCACCATATCCCGAAATTCAAGTCTCCTCAAATTCTTCCCTATAAATTAACCTAAATAACTCATCGCCATCATCAAATGCATCACACCAATTTGAAATTAATTCACTCCTTTTCAACTTAAAGAAGATGTCTGGTCGTGGCAAGGGTGGCAAAGGTCTGGGAAAAGGCGGAGCAAAACGTCACTTTAAAGTGCTTCGCGACAACATCTAGGGTATTACCAAGCTAGCAATTTGAGGGCTGGCAAGACAAGGCGGAGTAAAAAGAATTAGTGGGCTAATATATGAAGAGACGACAGGGGTACTCAAGTTTTCTTGGAAAATATGATTCGCGATGGTTTGATTTAACTTTGTATTGCAAGTGAAGCAATAAGTTCTTCAAGCATTATCAAAATTTTATTTCTAATTTTGTTTTATTTTGAAGCTTCTTATTATTTTAGATGGTGTTGTATCATATTCTAATGTTCAAGTGTATGCATTCAAAAATTTGTAATAAAATTGTCAATTTTCATGTAATTACAAAATTTGTTTAGAATGAGTCATTTTTAATTTTGTGAGTTAATTTACATAAACTACTGTAAAAAAAAAATAAAAAAACCTACGACAATTGTCAAAAAACATTGGGAAATGGTTTTTTACAACGTTTGAAAAATGATGAGAAAGGTTTTTTGCAATGTTAAAAAAAATGTTGCGAAAAGATTTTTTGCAACATTTGAAAAACGTTGCGAAAGAGTTTTTTGCAACATTTGCCATATCTTTCCACTCTTAGACAACATCCGGATTTGCAACATGAGCCTGAACGTTGCAACATATCATTTGCAATATTTTTTGAACGTTACAAAATGTTGTTTTTGTTGTAGTGACGCTAGAACAAAACATATAGAAGTGGTTTTTCATTTTATTCATGAAAAAGTGGCCAACTCCAACAAAGGTGTAACTCTTCGTTTTATCTCCACCTCTGAGCAAATAGCCGATATCTTTACCAAAGGACTATCTGGCATCACTTTCAACATCTGAAATCCAAGCTCATGGTCTCCTCCCACAAGCTTGCAGGGAAATGTTAAAGAATCCTCAAAAGACGCCAAACATCTAGGAGAAGATTTACCTGTGAAGGATAGCCTTTGAATTCAAATACAGATTCTTGTTTATCATTAAGTTACAGATTATGGTTTATCCATTCAGATTTTTTGGTTTTATTATCTCTTTCTTCTTCCAAGTTTGTTACATATATTATCTGTATTTATTTTCAAATTCCTATGTACAAAGTCTATACATAACAGATTATATACAGTGCAATGCATCATCAACAATCCTTTCACTTTTATATCTTTCAGTATTATCTAGGAGTTCACGATATTAAAAGGAAAAACGAAGCTACTAATTAGTATATAATTATATCTAATTATGTCTAATACTATAAAAATTAAAACATATCGATGAATCATGAATCCATTAACATTCATCAATTTCTTTCCAATACTAGAGTTAGGTAAAATTTCCTTTTCCTAATGAACATGAAATCATAAAGTTCAATCATTGTAAATATTTCTTGAACAGCTCTGCTAATATTTTAGCCTCCAAATACTGAAAATATAGTTTATTAACCTCAAATATCACTGATTTCATAACCTTTTGTAAGATGATAAAAGCCAAGACACTTTTCTTCAATTGTTTGACCTAACTGATCCATGATATTCCAAATTCTCAATAATCGGTATCTATATATTTACACGGTACTAGTCAAAATAATATCTGAGCTAATGAAGGTTTCGATCCAAACAAAATGCCACCAGTTCAATAAAAATTTAACTTACTACACTTTTCATAAAGAAAAAGAAAAAAAAAATCTTATTAATTTTCAATGAGAAGTTTCAAATTAAATTAAAAAAAAAAAAATCGTCTTATCTTTAAAACGAATTGATCAAAATCTTAAGTTGGTCAACCATAATAATTTATATATAGAATGTTATATAAAGTTTTCTTGTCCTTGTCCGTATAATTCAATTATTACTTCAATCATAGTCTCATGGCCTTTGCTTCGATACGGTGTATGATCACATGGCAAGGTTTGTCAAATGGGACATAAAATAATAAATAAAAAGAACCATGTTACGTGTTTATAAATTATAATATTCAAGATGGAGACAGTTTTCTTCTTTTCCATACGCTGCAGAAATTAAGGAACAAGTTGGACAAGAATGCTTGCTAGGGATATGTACCATTGGGCAATCAACAGTAAAAATTTCTACGGTTGTACGTCATGTACATATGATCTTTCTACAGTTGTACTTCATGTACATATTGTTTATATATACATGATAAGATGAAATAAGATTGACATAGAATTTCTTCACCCAATTTTTAAAAAAAAGAAAAAAAGAAAAAGAACTTCCCATCTATTTTTTGACATATTATCCTTGCGTAAACCATTATATAATTACTTTTGTACAAGTTGCATTATTCAAACATCTAATAATAATGGTCAGCTTCTATAATGATGGCCATAATTGATCACCAATCAAGGCAAACATATTAGGAAAGAAAATAGAATTTTTTTTTTAAGAAGCTTGATATTATGAAAATAAGAAAAATAAGTTTATACTCGATCTGTATTATAAAACGATGCGAGTTGACTTGATGATACCTCCTTTTTTTTTTATTAATGCTATTTGCAGTCGTTTACTGTCATAGTCATTCTACGTGACAGTTAGTGATTTGATGCATTAATGTGATAGTGTATGTCACGTAGGGCAACTGTAAATAACATTATTCTTTTTTTGAGTAGGCCAGCTCTGCCTGTCCATCTATATAAAAGAGTGGACACGAGCAGCGTGCCCTCTTTCAACTTATTTTTGTCCATCACATGATTGATTTTCATTTTTTCTTTTCATTTTTTCATGTTTCATTTTTTTTTTCCCTTCTAAATTAAGGCTCTGATCACAAGTCTAGACATCCAAGCCCAATAGATCCACCTTTAGTAATGTGTACACCAGTTTGATCTTGACATCACCATATATATACTCATATATGATTTATAATGGAGAAGAACGGACCAGCAAAATGCAAATGTAAGTGCTGTTCTACAATATTGTTACAACTTGAACTGGAAGATATCAAAGTCATTTATATCTCAAAATGGATGCTTCAACTTAAACTTCAAGATATGAAAAGGCATTATTAAACTTTTATTAGGATCAGAAACCATAAACTGCAAGGGGTTAGTCTCAATGATTAAATCAGGACCTTAGAACCAAATGTCAAAGACTTCTGCATAATTTATGAGAACAATTGGGCTGTAACTTACAAGGTCAACCAAGAGCACATGCAAGACCCCATAAATAATTAATTTCAGCAAATTATTCTATCATAGAATAGCAACAACCAATACATTTCGTACTTTTTTATAAGGTACATCTTACCACGTTAAACGTATTAAGAGGAAATAAAGAAATTAAAATCTTATTCATATGGTTCAATCAAATTTGTCCGATGCTTCGTAGTTTATTTGATAAGGTAGGACATGCATCATTCAATATATTGAGGAAGAAAAAGAAGTTAAAATCTTGTTTATTGTACTGTATAGTTTCTCCATAAACAGGATGACGGTGAGAAATGAATAAGTTTAGGGTGGACTTTGATCTCTTCAGTTGGGAAATCCATGTGGGATTGGAATAAATGGTATGAGAACGTGGGGAATAATTGAAATGAAATTCAGGATTTCTTTAGACTTTTTGCATAGATAATTCAACCAAAATGATAAGAGAATTTGCCACTTGCAAATTCACATGTGAGGTTGTTGCATTGCAGAAGACCTGTTACCTATATAAGCACCATTAACTTTGAATTGACACCCAGAATCTGCACACACCAATCTTTCTTTACATTTTCTTCTCCTTTAGTCGCTGATAGAGAGAACACAATGGCCAACAATGGCATTTTAGCACTGGTACTTATATTGAGTTGTTTCGTCCTAAAAGCCAGCGCTTTCACCGCGTCTAGATGGATGCGAGCTCACGCAACATTCTACGGAGGTAGCGATGCTTCGGAAACAATGGGTAAGTGTTGTGCTTAAATTGTTTTCTAATTATATTGCTTTCGATGATAAGGAATTAAGGCTTTATCCTAAGAGAAAAGTCGCGTTTATTTGTTATTTAGAACTGAATTCGATATAAATTTTATTGGTATGGCCACAGGGGGTGCTTGTGGATATGGTAACTTGTATGCAACTGGATATGGGACTAGAACTGCAGCATTGAGTACAGCATTGTTTAATGATGGGGCAGCCTGTGGGCAATGTTACAAGATAATTTGCGATTTTAACACCGACCCTCGATGGTGCAAGAGAGGAACATCTGTTACTGTTACGGCGACAAACTTTTGCCCTCCAAACAATGCTCTTCCGAGCGACAATGGTGGGTGGTGCAATCCACCCCGTCAGCATTTCGACATGGCTCAACCCGCTTGGGAAAAGATCGGTGTATACCGAGGAGGAATTGTGCCAGTGCTCTATCAAAGGTCTTTACGCTCCCCAAAATTGATACCACTAGACCTGAATTTTTGCTCAAATGTTTATTTAATCTTCAACATATTCAACCTAGTATTTTATATATAATGCAGGGTTCCTTGCAAGAAGCGTGGTGGAGTTAGATTCACAATGAACGGTAGGGATTACTTTGAGCTTGTGATGATCAGTAACGTGGCCAATGCTGGATCCATCCGATCAGTGCAAATCAAAGGGTCAAGAACTAATTGGATGACAATGTCTAGGAATTGGGGTGCCAATTGGCAATCCAATTCTTATCTAAATGGCCAATCTTTGTCCTTCAGAATCATTACTACTGATGGACTAACCCAAACTTTCCTAAATGTATTCCCATCAAATTGGGCTTTTGGCCAAACATTTGCATCCCCAATTCAGTTCTAAGTTGAAGATTGGTTCTCGAGTTTCGGGTTTCAGAGAGGCAGCGGCGTGCTTACTATTTTAACTGAAGCAGCCCGCCGAATGTCTTGCTTTATGCAATATATATACGTAGTAATTGTGGGAAAGATGTGGGATTTTCTTGTTCATAATTGATGGAACCTGAAACTGAGGATTGGAATTGTATTTAGCAATTGTTTTCAAATTTATTGAAAAATACATATGCACAATAAGAAGCAGGCAGCTTCAAGAAAGTTGTTTTTCCATTTTTCTTGGACCCTTTTGTAATATGAATACTTCATTTATCATACAAAAGTTTCATACATTCTTTATGTTGGGATCGATTGATATATGCTAACAAGACGTGGGCCGCAAAATGTCGAAATTGTCAAAACCTGCTGGCTGAAAGAGATCAATTACATATATAACTACAAATAATGTATAATCAATGCAAAATAATCATTTATAATCAAAATCTTAATCATTGCCATGCACAAACTCTAGTCAACCTTACCAAAATTTAGATAAATTTATTTATCTACTAATTAAATCACAACATAATCTTGTTAAAGTTTGACCCAATTTTCATTGAGTATTTGTAGATTTGTTAAATTGGCCTTTGGAGAGGTCAAAATATAGACTAAGGAGAAAAAGACGCCGAATTGCCTCTAGCTTACCACTCGAGCAACGGAATGAAATTTTTAACAGAGAGTTGCCGCCCACCTACCTCTTTCCGAGTGATTGACGGAGTGCCTACGTCTTGCTTACCGCGAGCCCAACGCTCGAGCGTCACACTATTCTGACTCATGATCAATTTCACGTTTTGAAGTTTGTTTGATGTTATTTCTATCCTTCAGACTCTTATTAATGTTTGACATGTACCCCTATATAAAGTTGACTCTCTTTACAATTAGAACAAGTTAGACAATATTGTAAATATAAAATATTTGTATTCTTTCTCCATATTATAGTGAATTCTCCATTCTTCTGAAAAATTTCTTGTGTTCTTCTTATGTTGTGATCGTTACTTCATATTTGCCATATAACCTCATTATTCTCTACCAAGTGGTGTTATCACACATAACTACTTGGTTAGATTTGTGAATAAAGGTTATCAGAGCTTGATGTTTGATTTGTTCGAGGTTTTGATCTTGAGATGGCAACCATGAAATATAATATTCCGTTTTTGGATTGTAATACTAGATTCTCTTTGTGGTAAATGAAGATGCAAGCAATGCTCGCTTAGATGGTCTTGAATGTTGTATTGTTGGGATCTGACAAGATGCCCACAACTTGGATGTTGTAGGAGAAACAACGTAGGGATTGAAAGGCCCTATAAATCATGTTCTTCAGGTTGTTTTGAATGAGAAAACTATAGTTTCATTATAGTCTAATTCTGCATGACTAAGAGTCTAACCAGCAAATTGCACCCGAAGCAGAATTTGTATTCTCATCGTATGACAAAAGGTACATCCTTACAAATCACCTTACTGTCTTCAAAGATATTGTCGCTGATTTGAAAACCTTAAGAGGTTAAGTATGATGAAGAGAATTTGAATTTGATTTTATTGTGTTCGTTGCCTACTTCATATATGTCGTTTACAGACAAGATATTATATAGTCATGACACTTTCACCATTGAAGAAGTATATAATGCTTTGTTTTTAAAGAAGAAGATGAGCACTTGTTGGATCTGAAGTTCAAGAAGAGGGCTTTATTGTTAATGATGGCTATGAGATGGGCAGATCAAAGTCTAACTTTAGTAATCAACTTTGTAACTATTCCATGAAGAATGACCACATTAAGAAGGATTACTACATGTTGTAGAATAAACAAATGTTGGCCGCAAATCAAAAAGGAAGACAATCAAAAACTTCAAGTGAAGCCGATGTTGTAGAGAACTATTTAAGTGATGGAGAACTTTTTGTTATTTCTGATGGCAATTCCAAACCCGACGAGGATTGGATTCTTGATGTAGCTTATATTTTTCATATTTGTCACAATCGAAATTTGTTTTCAACATATGAAGTTTCGAAAGGTGTTATAGTTATGGGCAACAACGTACTTTGTAAAGTTTAGATAAATCTATTTATCTATTTATTTTCTGGATATAAAATTTAGATAAATCTATTTATCTACTTATTTTTTGGATATAAAATTTCTTCCACCTTAAATCATAACATAATCTTGTTAAAGTTTGACCCAAGTTTCATTGGGTATTTTTGGATTTGTTGAATTGAATTTTGAAGAGGTCAAACTATGGACTAGTGAGGAAAAAATGGCCGAGCTAGCCGCTAGCTTACTGTTTGAGTGGCAGGACGAAATATTTAGCACAAAGTTGTCGCCTGCCCGGTGTCCGAATGGTGCGTTTGCCACTCACTTACCGTGAGCCTGTGCTCGAGCGTAGTGCTATTCCGGCCCGAGATCGGTTTCCTTTTTTTGACCTTTTTTTTATGTTATTTCCATTTTTAGGACTCTTATTAGAATTTGACATGTACCCCTATATATAGTTTGGCTCTTCCTTACAATTAGAACAAGTTAGACAACATTGTAAAAATAATATATTTGTATTCTTTCTCCATATTATGTGAATTCTCCATTCTTCTGCCAATTTCTTGTGTTCATCTTGTATAGTGATCGCTACTTTATATTTTGTCATGTAATCTCGTTATTCTCTAATAAGTAGTGTTTTGTCAACTCTTCTTGTAACATAATTCCATGAGTTGTGATAACAATGATTGGAAAATGCAATTCCTGCATTTGGTGCTTAAAACGAAATCAGCTGCACCAAGTCTCTCTTTAGCCTCTCTCTTTGGATGGTGATGTGTTGATTACTGATACAAGGTGATCAAATGCCTTAACAAAATTTAAAGCAACATGACCAAGGCCTCCCAATCCAACAATTCCTATTTTTTCCCTAGGTGAGTTCAACTCCAACAGGTTTTTGTCTTTCATAGGACAATACACAGTTATTCCTGCACAAAATAGGGGTTCTCCTTAATCAATTGGCGAGCTTAATTTCTGTCACTCGAACAAGATATCTGCAGTGGTCAATAATTTCAAGAAAATATAATTAGTTCGATTTTTCACCCAAGAATGATAGCACGAAACTTCAAATGTAACTGAGTTATTTTAATAGGGTTTTGCTGAAACACGCTTGTGATCAGAGCATGAATGCATGGGATTTATTATTGATATAAATGTAAATAACTAAATTAGAAGAGATGATCATAAAAATACGGAGATAGTATAGCAAAATTGATAGGTCAAAAAAGCAAAAAAAAAAAAAAAAAAAAAAAAAAAAAAAAAAAAAAAAAAAAGAATAATAATACATCCAGCATAAATTTCGAAGAGTAATGATAAAAATATAAATATAGTTTGTTATCTAGTATAGTTGCTCATTGTGAAACAAACTATCGAAATTGTACTAAGTAGAAGTTGGGTTTCACGGAAGGGGAAAAAAATAAAAAATCATTCTAGACTCGGGTGGTGTGAAAAATATACTATTATATGTGCTTAAAAAGTCATTTTTTAGAGAGCAAGTTTCAAGACTTGCTATCTAATAAGGCTAGTTTTATTATTAACAAAAGTAATTTTAAAAATTATATTTAAAATAAGTAATTTGTGTTGCGTGTTGTCATACTTGGCCAACCTACCTGGGCCAATGGCCCACCCAGGGCGAACCACGTGACCCTCCAGCCGAGGTGGCATAGATCGCCGAGGTGGAATATGGCCGAAACCCTTCAAGTCGAGGTCCATGAGCCGAGGCCCCCACCCTTTACCGAGGCCTGTGAATGTTCTCGAGGTCGAATACTGAAGTCTATGACCCGAAGCCATGATGCTGAAACTTATTGAAGCTAGCTGAAGCCCTCAAGTGGAAGTATTGTATGAAATGGCTGAAGCCCCGAAACTGATGCAAGAGCCTTCGAACCACAAGAGAGCATCCTCCATGGTCACTTCTTCCAAGAGATCGTCTGCACAAAGATCTTATTCGAATGATTGATGGAACGTTTGTCATAAGTATAAAGGTCAAATCTTGTCACTAATATGGAGGCTCTGCACAAAGCAATAAATGCGCAGCAAGCTAGCAAGTCAAGCTCCATGCCTAGGATAGAATGTTTTAATCAAAGAGATGAGGCCACGTGCCACCTCATCCAAGGGCTCCCATTTCACATGTATCACTATAAATACTTCCCTTGTGTAACATCAAAAGGCTAATGCAAGAATCAATACAAAGAACTACACTTTACTCAACTCTCTCTTACTTACTTGCAATACACAAATCGAGTTTATACACATTTACATGTACATCTACGAGCACCGGTTGGTAATTATTGTACAATCGGATCACGAACAACCCGTCGAATTTCGAACGTCACTGTCCCGCGTCGTTGGGCTACTCCCACGCCCTTTAAACCGCTCGTTTTAGACCGTCTACGTATCTTAACGTGTTGGACATTCGCCCACGTGTGCGCGGTGGGACCGGCATCTGTTGGCAACACTTTTTGGGGTCAACAGATTGGAGCCGTCTGTGGAAAACCATACCATAACCACGAGCAACCCTGTGGTAAAAGTTTATTGAAAGGACATTTGGGCAACCCCCCCTTGAAAAAGGATTTGTTCTTGGAAGAGAACGGGAGGAAGCCCCATTACTTGGCGAAATTTGAAGTCGGACAAAGGAAAATGAGCTCCAATGAAGATACTCCCCCCAGGAGAGTAAGAGAAAACACGAACGTGCATCCTCAGTCCATTGCCCCAACAGCTTGGCAGAGACTCCACCACCAAAGAAGAGGTGGGATGCGTGCGACGGCACGATTATAAAGAGAAATGGCAGCCATCGCAGCTAACATGAGGGATATCGCTAGCCAAAATTTGGCTATGAGGGAGCTTATGGCCCAAATGCAGGGCTAGGGAGGCTTCCCCATTACTACATATGCCCCCCAAGGGCACTACCAGCAAGAGGATGAAGTCCAAAGTCATAGAGCTACTACACTAGACTATGGCCGAGGTGGAAGCCCATTTGAAAGGGAAGTGGAAGTTGATGTTTCCTCCAACTACGCTTCTGGCCAACCCACCGAGGTCCAAATTAGCCATGATAATTTCCCACCTCCGTATGAGCAAGACCCAAGACATAGGAGGGCAGGAAGTGTTTTTGACAGAATCAGCCCCGCCAAACCGAGGCAAAGGCAACAATAGGCTCAACAACCTTGGACAAGGCCGCCTCCTCCACCTACATTGCCCCAACAGGCGGAAAGAAGGCAAGA